ACCAAGGATATCATTGCTGATGTCAAAGGGATCCTGGTTGAAAGCAAAGAATACCAGAAGAATGTCTATTTGTTTATTTGAGTATGCAAAGGCATTTTAATGACTGGATTATAAAAAATTATGGCTAACATTGAAAAGAAAGGGAATCTCAGAACACTTAATTGTGCTCATGGGAAATCTATACATATAATAAGACACTGTTGTAAAAACCAAGCAAGGGAACACTGCATGGTTTAAAATTAGAAAGCTGTGTGTTGGGGTTGTATTCTTTCTCCATACCTAATCTATCTGTATGCTGACTAAATAATTATAAAAGCTGGGCTCTATTAAAAAGTGGTATCAGGATCAGAGAAAAAAACTAATAATAAACATTCTGTGTTATGCAGATGATACAACCTTGCTTGCTGAAAGTAAGGAGGACTGGAAGGGCTTGCTGCAGAAGATCAAAGACTATAGTCTTCAATATGGATTGAATGACAAGAAAACAAAAATTCTCACCACTGGCCCAATAGGCAACATCATGATAGATGGAGAAAACATTGAAACTGTGTGGTGTGGGAGAAGAGCACTGAATATCCTACGGAGTGCCAAAAGAACAAACAGGTATGTCTTGAAGAAGGTACAGCCAGAGTACTCCTTGGAGGCAAAGATGAGAAAACTTCATCTCATGTACTTTGGACATGTTGCTAGGAGAGGCTCTCCACTGGAGAGAGAACCACACAGTTCAAAGGCATTGATTCTTCTGTCATCCTTATTCATTGTCCAGATTTCAGCAATATAGCAAGTGACTGAAAAGAGCATGGCTTTAATAAAATGTACCTTAGTCCTCAAACTAACATGCTTGGGAAGGTGGAAGGATGGCAAAAGAGAGGAAGAGCCTCAAGAGCCAGGTGGACTGACACAGTGACTGCAGCAATGGGTCTGAGTGTGTCAGAGACAGTGAGGATGGCACAGGATAGGACAGGCTTCAGGTCTGTTGTTCACAGGGTCACTATGAGTCATTCTCGACTCGAGGGCACCTAACAATATCTTATCTAAAATAGCTTCACTTGGCCCTCTCATGAGTACGGAATAAACATGAGCTTTTCCTCATGTCCCTAACCGAACCTACAAATTGTTGTTTTGTACTTTTGAATCAGAACTGACCCATAGCTGACCCTCTGGCGGGTTTTCAGAGGTGGTTAATCGCACGGGAGGAGACTGCCTATCGCAGGATGACAAAGTAAAATATTACAATGAAATGTGCAAGGAGCTGGAGTCAGAAAATCAAAAGGGCTGAACTCACTCAGCATTTATTTTTTGAATTTTTTCCATTTTACTATTTTCTCTGTTTGTACCGTCAAATTGGATCTGGCTGGTATAGGAGGAGATTGCCCGTCCTTCTCCAGCAGAGCATCTGGTGCATTCGAACTGCCTACCTCTGGGATTGCAGTGCAGCTTCTTGCCACTAGGCCACCAGAGCTCTCTCATCAGCATTTCGTAAGCTCAAAGAACTGAAGAACAAATTCAAACCTCGAGTTGCTACAATCAAGGATGCTTTAGGAAGAATATTAAATGATCCAGGAAATATTAAAAGAAGATGGAAAGAATAT